AAAAAAAAAAAAACCATAGAATGAGTTAAATAAGACATGAAATTTTTTTTATCTTTATTATCAAGTAAAAACCAATGAATATTTATATATGCTTTCTACAGGGAAAGACAACACAATTGATGAGATGGGTAGATGGGAAGACAACAAATGGGTTTGGAACCTTCCTTGGAGACCCACCCCACACTCTTGGGAGCAAGATTCCATGCAAGATTTCAACAAGCTTCTCAAGGAGACCAACCTGACCATAGGGAAGGAGGACACTTGGACCTGGGAACGAGATAAGTTGGGTGATTACTCTACAAGCTCAGGATACACTGCTTTGGTCCAACATCAACCCTCACCATATCGACAAGTTTTTGAGAAGATTTGGAACCCCCTTATTCCTCACAAAGTCTGTGGATTCACTTGGTTACTACCACTTGACAGGATTCCCTCAAAATTCAACTTGTTGAAAAGGGGATTAATTAAGGAGATAGAGGCTGTTAAGTGTAGCCTTTGTGGACGGAATGTGGAAGACATCAACCATCTTTTTCTCCACTGCTCAGTTACTGCAAAAATCTGGTCAATGTGCTTCGAATGGTGGGGCTTCTCCACTGCCATTGTTGGTTCATGTTTGGATTCTTTCATCCAACATGAATCCTTAGCTACTAAAAGTAGTGAACGACTGGGTTGAATTATAGTGTGGTTTTCTCTCGTCTAGACCATCTGGACTATCAGGAATGAGGTAATCTTTAGAGGTAAATCGATGGATTTGACAAAGACTTTCGATCAAGTTCAAGCTCAAGCCTTCCTCTGGGTCAAGAGCAAAGGAAAGGAAGTACATTTCTGCTTCTCTGACTGTATCTTAAACCCTAGGTGCTGCAAGTTTTTGTAAATGGGTCTCCCAACGCTATATTGTTTTTTGGTTCTTCATTCTATTAGGGATTGACTAATGTATACGGGTTTGGGTAACCCTTGTACTCATTCAATTAAATCTTTTGCCTTTCGAAAAAAAAAAATCAAGTAAAAGCCAATGAATATTTATGACAGACAAGACACAACGCTTTAACTCTAGAGCATAATTTTTATTTTTTTTTTGAGTTGTATAATGAGATACAACCTTTTTTTTTTTTTTTTACTGCATATATAAACATACAACTTGAAATTACAACTAAACGATTTAGATCTTTTCCCTTGTGTATCTGCAAATCATTTCTTAAGGTACAAGTTCATGTCTCTTTCAAACCCGCCACTACACCTGTATTCATTCCTCTCACAATCCCCCAATCTTCATTGTAGTAAAAAATGGCCGAAATCTTACTATTTTAGAGAAGGATCAATGTTATTCGGAGAATTCTCCGAAGGTGAAACATTATTGGTTTCAGGTTGAACAATTGAAGGCAATTCCTGGTGCTGCCTGTCGACTGGAGCGCTAGCATTCGGAGGCACGTTAAATTGCAATTGTTCGGATTGCAATGCTGCATTACCAGAAGGAACCCTCCTTGGTAAGCCATTGGATCCACTCGGGCCAGACATCATTGCACGCACGCCTGGGGATGGTGAATTGTTAGGCGGGCACGTACAGTCAAAATTGCAATGAGTAGGGCCATTGCTCCGACTGCAAGATAAACCAATTGAATTGTCAATAAGATCAAATTAGGAAATCATAATGCTTGTAGCTGAAATTTTTTAATAAGTTGTTCGGAGTTTATTAAAAAGCTTACCCGGGCTCAAGAATAACTGGCTCAAGAAATGACTCAATATCCACAACACCCTGAGAACGACCTGAAGATGTTCTCGGGGTTGAAGATGCAACTCTAGTTGTATAATTTGTAGTTGCAAAATGATTGAACACTGAATTGAATATTGGCAGGGGTGGTTGATTCCATTCACAGTTTAATCGATTGATGATATCAAAAGCGGAGACCTGATGATAAACTGTCCCATCCCCAATATCCAAGACAGCAGGCCGTGACAAGGCTCGATGAACTGTGCA